GAGCTTCTATGGATTTAGTATGGAGGAAGTCTTGAGCGGGGCCTTTTCGGTGAGTGAGTTGTGAGAAAGTTTCAAGTGGGAGCTCATGGGGCTCGCACCTCATGCTGTAGATCCCAGGGATGGGACGGAAACGAGGAGAGGATTACTTTCAGACGACTTAAGGACATGCTCATGCGGGGTCTCACCGTCGGAGAAATTCAAACGAGCGTTGAACACATCGAAACAGGATCGCGGGATCGCGTTCGGAGGGAACCCCCACACACGTGACTCCAGCGGGCACAGGATGTTGCGATCACCACCCGTTAGGTGCAGGCGCAAAGTCAGCGAGTGAATCGTGAACATGGAACTTCACATTGGCCATCATAGAGTTCTAATTCTTCTTGAGCTGAACAATAAAGCCTGAGCACCTGCTCCTGTACTAATTCCTCTTGCGTTGCTTGAGTCTTCGTCGAGCCGTGCCTGCGTCAGTTTGGAAAGCTTGTTAGCTGCAATATGGCATAGCACGTTCTCGGCCGCGCCAAGTTTGGCACCCTTCTGGTCGATCAATTCAAGGCCGCCATACTGCATCTTGGGCTTCTACTGTGTGAATCCCTTGAGGGATACATGCGCGCCGCAGCGTGCGTGGACATCTTGTGAGTCGCGGGTTTTTAAACGGAGAAATCAAGCAATAGTTCATGTCTTTGATTCTGCAGTTTTACCACATGACGAGATAAGTGTCATTAAGTTTCACGTTCCGATGCTCACTCCTGCCGCATTCGTTTCTTCACGTCTCACTGTGGGGCGGGTCGGGGTGATGGTGGAATAGTTGCGCGTTCTGACCGGTGGACCGGTGGACCTGTGGCGGTGGATCGGTGGACCGGTGGACTGGTGGACTGGTGGACCCGTGGACCGGTGGACTGGTGGACCGGTGGACCGGTGGACCAGTCGACCGGTGGACGGGTGACCCAGTGGACCCGTGGACCGGCGGACCGGTGGACCAGTGGACCGGTGGACGGTGGACAACAGGTGGACGACTGGTGGACGACCGGTGGACTGGTGGACAGATCGATGGACCAGTGGACCGGTGGACTGGTGGATCGGTGGACCAGTGGACGACGGGTGGACCGGTGGACCGGTGGAGGGACTGGTGCACCGGTGGACCGGCGGACCGGTGGACTGCTGGTGGACCGGTGGACCGGTGGACCGGTGGACTGGTGGATTGGTGGACCGGTGGACTGGTGGACGACGGGTGGACCGGTGGACCGGTGGAAGGACTGGTCCAGGTGCACCGGTGGACCGGCGGACTGGTGGACCGGTGGACTGGTGGATTGGCGGACTGGCGGACCGGTGGACCGGTTGACAGGTGGACCATGACCAGCGGACCGGTGGACAGGTGGACCGATGACCAGTAGGCCGGTGGTGTGGTGTGGTGAACTGGTGGACGGTGGAATGGGAGACCGGTGGACAACCGGTGGACCGGTGGAAGAATTTTGGTCGAACTTTGGACGTGGAAGATCTGTTGTGTGAGTTCGTGTTGTTAGCTGTGTGGTGTGCACTATGTTAGTTATGTAAGCTAAGTAATGTGAGCTGTGGCGTAACCTATGTGGTGCAAGCGATGCGATGCAAGCTATGCGGTGTAAACTACGCGGTGTGTGCGATATTCCGCACTTGCCGCCAATGGCCTCGCCGGTTACCCACAACTCCGACGTCGTGATTTGCTGAATGCGTGCTTTCTGCGTTTCATACTCTGGAGGCCGTTTCTGGGCTCCGGGGCCTTCCAGTGCTCCGCTCCTCGAAGCACCCCCCACGTCCGCAACCAGCCGCTATTCCTAGTGACCTCCAGCACCCACCAGCTCATCAACGTTACCACCACCACCACCACCACCATCATTAGCAATAGCATCATCATCATCAGCATCAGCAGCATCAGCAGCATCATCAGCATCAGCATCAGCATCAGCATCAGCATCAGCATCAGCATCAGCATCATCATCATCATCATCATCATCATCATCATCATCATCATCATCATCATCATCATCACCATCATCATCATCTTCATCATCGCCAGCATCATCGTCATCGTCATCATCATCATCATCGTCATCCTCATCATCAGAACTGTCATCATAATCATTATCATCATCAGCATCATCAGCATCGCAATCATCATCATCATCATCATCATCATCATCATCATCATCATCATCATCAGCATCAGCATCATCATCATCATCATCATCATCATCATCATCATCATCATCATCATCATCATCATCATCATCATCATCGGTTCCAGGGTCTTGGTTCTCGGGTTCCTGAGTTCCTGGGTTCTTGGGTTTCCTGGGTCCTTAGGCTCCTGGTTTCTTGGGTTCCTTGGTTCCTGGGATTCTGGGTTCCTGGGCTCTTAGGTGCCTGGGTTCTTGGGCTCCTAGGTTCTTGGGTGTGGTGGTCCTGAGCTATTTGATTTGGAAATCCTGGGTTCCTGGGTTCTGGGTTCCTCCTCGGGTTTGGTGTTCCTGGATTGTTGGGCTTGGTCTTCCTGGGCTGCTGGGTTCCTGGGTTCTTGGGTCTGGTCCTGGGTTCCTGGGATGTTGGGCCCCTTGGTTCAAGCATGTTCCCAGGTTCCTGGGATGTTGGGTTCCTGGGTTCCTGGCTTCTTGGGTTTCTGGGTTTTAAGTTTGTTGGGTCTGCTGTTCCTGAATTCCTGGGTTCTCGGTTTCCTAGGTTCTTTGGGTCCCGGGATTCTCGGTTCTTGGGATCCGGTTCCGGGTTCCCGGATTTTTGGGTTCTTGGGTTTGGTGTTCCTGGGTGCCGTGAGTTCCTGGGTTTTTGGTCCTCCTGGGTTCCTGGGTTCCTGAGTTCCTGGGTTCCTGGGTTCTTGGGTTCCTGGGTTCCTGGGTTCCTGGGTTTTCGGGCTCGGTGTTTCTGGGATCCTGGGTTCTAGGGTTCCTGCTTTGCTGGGTTTTGTGTTCGTGGGTTGCCGGTTTCTCGGGTTCTTGAGATCCCGGGTTCTGGGGTTCCCGGGTTGCTGGTTTCTTGGGGTCCTGGGTTCTTGGGTTCCCAGGATCCTGGGTTTTTGGGTTTGACAATGATGACGCCGCTGATGATGCTGATGATGATGCTGATGACGGTGGTGATGATGATGCTGATGCTGATGATGATGCTGATGCTGATGATGTTGATGATGTGATGACGATAGCGATGACGATGCCGATGATGATGACGACGAAAATAAAGATGAAGATACGGATGGTGGTGATGGTGATGCTAGTTGTGCTGATGGTATACACCATGATATTGATGGTGATGGTGCTGGTGGTACTGCTCATGACAATCACAATGGCGATGACAACGATCGGTGGACCGGTGGACCGGTGGACTGGTGGACCGGTGGACCGCGGTGGACAGGTGGACAGGTGGATCAGTGGAACGGTGGACCAGTGGACTGGTGGACGGGTGAATTGGTGGACCGGTGGACTGGTGGACCGGTGGACCGGTGGACTGGTGGACCGGTGGACCAGTGGTCCAGTGGACTGGTGGACCCGTGGACCGGTGTACTGGTGTACCGGTGGACCCGTGGACCTGTGGACCGGTGGACCGGTGGACTGGCGGACCAGTGGACCAGTGGACCAGTGGACCAGTGGACTGGTGGACCCGCAGACTGGTGGACTGGTGGACATGGTGGACGACCAGTGGACCGGCGGACGACCGGTGGACCTCTGGACCGGTGGACCGGCGCATGTTTTCCACCATTCTGCGGGTCGGGGTAAGGGTGCGAGTCGGGCGGGCGGGACACTAAAGAGTACAGCTCTTACGAGCAGGGCTATCGAGGCGGGGCGGGTCGGGCGGGTGAAATACTGAGGTGCGTGATCGTTGCAGCGTTTGGTTTGGCGAAGCAGAGCTGGCGGGCGACGCGGGTCGGGCGGGCGGAACATTGAAATGTCGTGTCAGGTCTCTCTCGAGTGCGGTCGGGCGACGCGGGGCGAACGGTTTAGGGTCAGCAGGGGCAGGGCGGGTCGAGTGGGCGGGACACCAAAGTGCAGAGCTCTTTGGAGTGTGGTCAGGCGACGCGGGGCTTGCGGTGACGGCGGCCCAGGCGGGTGCGACATTCATTGTTGGGTGTCTCTCGAGTTCGGTTGGGTGAAAGCTGGATGAAAGTGTTGGATCTCTGTCGCGTGTGGCCGACCGAAGCAGGGCCAACGCGCAAAGCGTGTCGGGCGGGCGGAACAGTAAAGTGCCGGGTATCTCTCACGTGTGGTCAGGCGACGCGGGGCGAACGGGGCATGGCGGGGCGAGCGGGCGGGACACTAAAATACGGGGCTCTCTCTCTCGCGTGTGGTCGGGCAAAGCGGGTCGCACGAGGTCGGGCGACGCGGGGCTCGCGGGCAGGGCGGGTCGGCGGGGCGGGCGGGACATTAAAGTATGGGACTCTTTCTCTCTCCCTCGGGTGTGGTCCGGGGGCGGGACACTCAGGATCTCTCCCGAGCGCGGCCGAGCGGGGCGGGGGCAAGGAACGATGCGGGCTGGGCGGGCGGGACATTCCGGTGATGGGCTCAGTGTCGCGTGTGGTCAGCCGGGCGGAGCAGGGGGGTCGGGCGGGCGGGGCCGGCGGGGCGGGGCGGGGTCGTGCGGGGCGCTGTGGCGCGGGGCTCGGCAGGGCGAGTCGGGCGGGCGGGGCATCAAAGCGTCGGGTCTCTATACCGAGGGGGGCGGGGCCGCTGCGGAGGAGGAGGAGGAGGAGGAGGAGGAGGAGGAGGAGGAGGAGGAGGAGGAGCCCTGAGTTCTGACGTCGCGAAGCAGATGAGACACCATGAGAAATCAGAAACAAATTCTTAGACCCCATATTCACATGCGGCATGCCTCGCGCTGGGATCGACCTGCGAGGGCCCTGGGGCCTGAGCCTGGGCGAAAGCGCCTAGCGTGAGCAAGCTGCGACGCCTGGGAACTCGGGGAGGAACGGGACGACGGCGGCGAGGACGGCGAGCAGGCCCCCACCTCCCCGCCCCCCCCGCCCGCAGGAGCCTCCTTGGGCGGGCGCCGTCGTGCGATTGGGCGTGCCGTGCCCGCACCGTGGGTGCGGCCTGAGGGGCGCCACCTCCGCCTTGCGCGCCAGACATGTGCCACGGGAGGAAGGATCGGGGCTCACGGGACAGGGGTCAATGCAAACGGGGGTCAGTCAGAGCGCGGGATCTTGCAGGACCCTGCAGGGCCAGGGGCGCACGGACCCACCTTGATCCGACAATTGGCGCTTTCTAAACGGCTCTGGGCGTTTACTAAACAGCCTTGCCCTGTTCGATTCCTTCTGTGGGTGCGTTTGCTAAACGGCTTCGCGTGTCGGGGTGATCATGATGGGGGTGTATTTTCTGCCCTCTACTGACTGACCTGGGTCTGGATTGACCCGGGTCAGAAGATTCCCGAGGAAGGAGGGTCGAGCGGAAGGCAGTGGAGCGAATCGATCCGGCCCAAGAGAACGTCAGGAACTGCAGTGCCGTCTGGGCCCCCATCCATGGGGTCGACGTTTTGGACAATCTTAAGTCGGGCATGTCCCTCTATTGGGAAACGATTCAGAAATAGTTAGAATATTGTCTGGGGGCGATGTTTTGATAATGTTGTGATTATTTTTGTTTTTTTGTATTTATTGTTTTGTGTGTGTGTGTATGGGAGACAATTTTTGATTTTTCCTCCCAAATCCGCCTGTAGGAGGACAGGCCCGACCCAAGGAAATCACTGAGCAGCAGTTCTGGCAGCATTTGTGTGACGCCCTGCCCGGCGGCGAACAAAAAGGCCACCCCGGCCCCAACCGGCCACCCAGGCCAGGGGCTCACTGAGTGAGCCTCCGTGGTGGGACGGCAGTCGGGCGGCAGTGGTAAGTCGGGCCTGTCTCTATACAGGGGGAGCGCTCAAAAATGGTCCAGAAATAGTATAGTCTGGGGACGATTTGTTTTTGTTTGTTTGCCATTTCTGACCATTTGTGAACATGGTTTGACTTTTGCTTAAAAATCGTCCAGGATCCGCCCGTAGGAGGACCTGCCCGACCTGACGGCAGGGGGGGGAGGAGGAGACGGGATCGACATAGCCGGCGGGCGTTTGCCTGTCGCCCACCGCGGCGCTGCCCGCGCCTTCGGCTGCACGTGGCGCGCCTGGGCGTTCCGAAGCTTGGAGGCCCGCGCCGTCAGAAAGGTATCCCGCGCACCCGGTCAGAGTCTGACTGTGAGTCGGGCCTGTCCCTCGTCAGGAGGAGTAGTCAGGAATAGTGAAAAATTTGTCTGGGGACGATTTGTCGATTGTTTGTTGACCATGTTTGCATATCTTTGTTGACTATCTTTTATTTGTTCTCAAAATCTGCCTGTAGGAGGACACGCCCGACCTAAGTCTAATTGCTGTGGTTCAGCGGCGCTGCGATGGGTATTCACTATCCGCTACTTCGGGGACGCGCCGAAAGTTGCCACTTCAGAGCCTTCCTCGGGCATTTCAGCATTGCCCGCATCGAGGGCTGGGTTCGCTAGGTCGCTGGCCAAAGTACCATGTATCCGTTCGTGGAGTACCCGTTCGGGGGGCGTTGAGGGGTATCTGCTGTCGCCGTCGTCCCCGCGCCGTCGAAGAGCGATTGTCTTCGGTGCGTGAAGTACAAGGAGCGGTCTGCCGACATGAGACGCGGTAGGATCACAGTGGAACTCTCCGTAGCCATTTTGGCTCCAGCCATTTTGGCTTCAGGGTGCTCCGGGGCTCCCCAGGCCCGATCGCGATTGGCGCGGGAGCTGGCAGCACTCGCTCGATACGTGGTACTTCTGCCGCCAGCAGCGGGCCATGGTGCGAGCCGTTCCAGTGCGCGTGCTCTCGCTCTCTGGGAAGACCATCCTCGCGAGCCACTTCCACCCCGACTGGGCCCTCGGCCAGCTCGGGCCCCTTGTCGAGGGCACGCTCCTCCACCGTGTGCCGGGCGCCACCGAGGAGCACGAGGTGCGGCTGCTGGTTGGCCCCAGCGCAGCCGGCGAAGTCCTGCCGCACCCGGCGGAGGCGCTGGACGCGGACACGTCCGTGGCGCAGATTGCGGGGCGCTTTCCAGGCCGGGGCTCGGTGACGCTTGTCGCAGTGGTCTGTCATAATGCCAACCGAATGGAGGAATTTGAACGAGATGCCCAGCAGCTCGTCGAGATGACCCCTGAGCTCTTTCAAGACGAGCGGATCCAAGAGTGGGCCATTGCGTTCTACCGCCTCGTGGATACGTACCAGGCCTCGCTGGAGCGGCTGCTGCACCGCGCAGTGAATGACACCACACACGGCACCCCCATCGCACACGACTCCCTTCCCCGTGCTCTCGAGCTCGTTCGACAGGTTGCGTGGGACATTCGCGAAGTCTTGCCAGGGCATGCTCCCCGGCACGCGTTCTTTGCGGTGTCCGAGGCGTTGTGGGTTGCTCTCTTCAGCGGCTCCCTCCGCACCGCGGCCTGACCGTTGCCGCCAGCAGCAGAGCCCCGAGGGGAGACAGCCCTTCAGGAGGCAGGATGTCAGGAGGAGGAAAAACACAGGAGGGGGGGGGGGGGGGAAAACGAAGCTCGAGAAAGTGTGGGAAACGCTGGGAACCCTGGGATTTGTGCCTGTTTAACTATGCCGGCGCTCGACCCCTGCGATGCTGGGGCGAGCAGTTTCTCGGCGCGGGAGGCGCGGGAGGCCGCTTCTTGGCACGCACGGGAGGCCGATGTTTGCTGAGAGCGTTGCCAAGGACCGATTGCCAAGGACCGATTACACGCCGGTCGTCGAATGTAGTTTTTGTTGGAAGGGCGGATATGCTTGATCCGCCTTCCCACTTCATATTCTTACCTTCTTCCGACCGGCGTGTACGCAGGACCGAGAAATAATTCGAGAGGCAGTTTTGCTCTTTTTTTTTAGCGAGGGAGGCCGCTTCCTGGCATGCACCATACTCGGGACCCATGCTTGCCAGGTCGCGGGGACGCGGCTGTATAAACACGAGGTTTGATCTTCTCTGGGAATCATCCCACGACAACTACTGCTGGATTTGCCATAGCTTCTGCTCATTTGTTGTTTGTTGAATATCAGCCCAGTTCGCGGGGACGCGCCTGTGTAAACACGAGGTCTGATTTCCTCAGGGAATCATCCTGCGACAACTACTGCTGGATTTGCACATAGCGTCTGCTCATTTGTTGTTTGTTGAATATCAGCCCAGGTCGCGGGGACGCGCCTGTGTAAACACGAGGTTTGATTTCCTTTGGAATCATCCTACGACACCTACTGCTGGATTTACACGTAGTGTGCTCGAGGCACGCTCAGGCGCGGTAGGAGCACGTAGTCTGCTCGGGGCGCGCGTGTTCCAGGCCGTGAGACCCGCCGATTGGACTCGCCGCTTTCATCGGGCGCACGCGTTTCTCGAACAAAAAGATCACATTGGAATTATGTGGCACCTTACGAGGTTCATGTAGACCAAAAGTGCGTTGAACCGTGCATGTCTATTGTAAGACGCAGTCGTCGGCGTTGCTATATTCTCTTGAAAGATTGTGGGTGTCTCATATTTTCCCGGTCTAAAATAGGAATTCGGATCCACCACCCTTCCCCCCGGACTCATCGCCCCGCCAGGGGATGTGCAATCTACATATGATCCTACCCCATCGTTCGTGCCCCATTTGAATTCGTACTATCCCAGCCAGGCCAACAATCCCACCCCATCCCCGACAAAATATTATGCGCGCGCACTCGTTTGTTACAGATCATCAGTTTTCAAGTGTGACGAAGTCCACTCGTCATCGCGCGTGCATGCCGAAATCCTTCAACACACTACAGTTTTCGCAAGTGTCTGTAAGATCGAGGTTCCCGACAACGTATGAAAAAGCAATGCCTTTGCAACGTGTGTTTTCCCAACCGTCCTATGGTGTTGGGTCCTCGTTTTGAAGAGACAGCGCCCCGCGTTCTCCTCCCGCCTCCTCCCTCCTCCCATCCTTGCCTCTGTTCTCCGCATAACATTTCGGCAAACCTAGGGAACGCACCCGCCGCTTTTTTCAAACCATCCTGTGGTGTTGGGTTTTCGTTTTGACGAAACAGCGCACCGCGTTCCTCCTCCTCCTCCTCCTCCTCCTCCTCCTCCTCCTACCCCGTCTCCTCCTCCTCCTCCTCCTCCTCCTCCTCCTGCTCCTCTTCTTCTCCTCCCCTCCTCCCTCCCCCCGTCCTTGCCTCCCCTCCTCCTCCTCCTCCTCCTCCTCCTCCTCCTCCTCCCCCCTCCTCCCTCCCCCCGCCCTTGCCTCCGCCCTCCGCGTGTCGACCCTTTTGGCACACCCCTCACGAGGCTCGTGGCCCCGCTGGCAGGGTTGGCATGGCGGCCTCGGGCCATCTCGGCCTCGGGCCCCCCTCAGTGGCAGGGCCCGCATGACGGCCCCGGGCCATCTCGTCACATCCCATCACGAGGACCGCGTCCCCGCAGGGAGCTCCACCGAAGGCCCAGCGGCAGGGTTGGCATGGCGGTCTCGGGCCATGGCGGCCTCGGGCCATCTCGGCACACCCCATCACGAGGATCGTGGCCTCATAGGGAGCTCCGCCGAAGGCCCCAGCAGCAGGGTTCGCATGTCGGCCTCGGGCCATCTCAACACCCCCCTCACGAGGATCGTGGCCCCACAGGGAGTTCCACCGAAGGCCGCAGTGGCAGGGTTCGCATGGTGGCCTCGGCCGATTTCGGCGCACCCCTCACGAGGATCGTGGCACCAAAGGAACCTATACCGAATGCTCCAGTGGCAGGGTTGGCATGGCGGCCTTGGGGGATTTCAGCACACCCCTTACAAGGATCGTTGCCCCATTGGGAGCTCCACCGAAGGCCCCAGTGGCAGGGTTCGCATGGCGGCCTCGGACGATTTCAGCACACTCCTCACGAGGATCGTGGCCCCACAGGGAGCTCCACCGATGGCCCCAGCGGCAGGGTTCGTGTGGCGGCCTCAGGCGATTTCAGCACTCCTCACGAGGATCGTGGCACCATATAGAGCTCCACCGAAGGCCCCTGGTGGCCGGGTTCATATGGCGGCCTCGGGGGATTTCAGCACACCCCGCACGATGACCGTGGCCCCATAGGGAGCTCCGATTTGAGCACACCCCTCACGTGGATCGTGGCTTCATAGGGAGCTCCACCGAAGGCCCCTAGTGGCAGGGTTCACATGGCGGCCTCGGGGGATTTCAGCACACCCCGCACGATGACCCTGGCCCCATAGGGAGCTCCACCGATGGCCCCAGTGGCAGGGTTCTTCGTATGGCGGCCTCTGGCCATCTCGGTACGCCCCTCACGTGGATCGTGGCTCCATCGGGAGAGGCCCCAGCGGCAGGGTTTGCATTGCGGCCTCGGGACACCCCTCACATGGACTGTGCCTCAGAGGGAGCTCCACCGAAGGCCCCAGTGGCAGGGCTCGTATGATGGCCTCGGGCCATCTCATCACACCCCTCACGAGGATCGTGGCCCCATAGAGAGCTCTGCCGAAGGCCCCGATGGCAGTGTTGGCATGGCGGCCTCGGGCGATTTCGGCGCAGCCCTCACGTGGATCGTGGCCCCACAGGGAGCTCCGCCGAAGGCCCCAGCAGCAGGGTTGGCATGGCTGCCTCGGGCGATTTCGGCGCACCCCTCACGAGGATCTTGGCCCCACGAGGAGCTCCACCGAAGGCCCCACTGGCAGGGTTCGCTTGGCGGCCTCGGGCGATTTCGGCGCACCCCTCCAACGCTACATAGCCCGAAATGGAGCTCTGGGCGAAGGCCCCAGTGGCAGCGCCCGCAGAAGTTCTCCGTTCGTTCCGGCACCCACCCATGTTTCGGGGCTCCCATCCGCGTTGCCCCGTGCTCCATCCCTCTCGCGGCGCGCATGTCCGGCGATATTCGCAGCTGCATCTGGTTGTGTATTTCGCCATGCTAATTTCAAGCATGGTCTGCCCGCGCGCGCTTGCGATTTCATAAGAAAACAATGGTTGTTGTCAATTTTTCGCATCCTATGCGACCAATCGGGCTACTCGCGCGCGCATGTCGAAATCATTCGGACGCCCTTGCGCGCGTGATCGGGGGAGACGATCCCTGTTCAATAATACTATTCGGGCCACTCGCGCGCGTCGGCAGCGCGCGCATGTCGAAATCCTTCCAAAACCTTCACCACCGACACGTGGACACCATCATCGTCATCGGCGCGACCAGCATCGGCGCCGTCGTCGGCCTTCTTGTCGGCATCGTCATCGTCGTCACCAGCAACGCTACTATCATCGTGTGTGCCGTTCGTTGTCGGCGTCGCCATGATATCGCGCCCGTCCGGGTCACCGACTCACACTGAAGTGCCCGCGCGTTAGCGCGGCCTACGAGACGCGCTGGGAAGTCCCCAGCGGTCAGCGCCTCCGCGTCCGCGTCGATCGCGCCAGATTGGCCGCTTTGCGAATGAGCCTACGCGCGCTAGCGCGGCCGCAGCGATGCGCCAGCCAGCGCCGAGCAGTCATCGCAATCGCCGCCGCATGGGTTTTGCAAGCCCAGTTTCAGGTGGGTGGGTAGGGCGAACGCGCGAACAGTGGAGCTGGCAGTTTCAAGTCCGGCAGGGTGAAACGCACTGCGTCGTATTTGCCACATACTTTGCGCCGCGTAGCTAGCGCCACATAGTTTACACCGCGCAGCAGAGACCACACAGCTTGCACCACAGAGCTGGCGTGGCACGGCGTGCACCACAGCCTACACAAAGCCTACATCGCACAGTCTACACCGCACAGCTTGCATCGCACAGCTTGCACCACACATATTGCACCGCGTAGCTTGCCGCACCGCGTAGTTTACACCGCGCAACTTGCACCACGACTTACACCATGTAGCTTGCACCGCGTAGCGGGCACCACATAAATGGCATCATGTCGTTTTCAGCGCATATTTCGGAGACACATAGCGTGCACATCCACAGTGCAATGGCGGATTGTTTGGGATCCACGCTGGCTTGGTATACGTGCGTGCTGCTCTTGTTCGTGAGCGCGCTCTTGATGCCGCCGCCTGTGACCAAGCCGCGATTGTTCAATGCTGAACGAGCCACGCGGTGTTCCAAACCAGCGCCGATGTCGTCACGACACGAACGTGCAGTACTGTACCCACCGGTGCCCATCCTCCTCTGCCGTTCCTGCCCGTGGCCGCTCGCGAGAGGAGGGGGGGCACGCCTCCCTCCCTCGCTCTCTCGCTGGGCTCTCGCTGGGTCGGTCGGGCCGAGGCGGCGCCCGCGGGTGACCTCCTCCTCCTCCTCCTCCTCCCCCTCCTCCTCCTCCTCCTCCTCCTCCTCCTGTCACTGTGGTGGCAGCAGTAGGGGGATGCCGGGGCCCAAGCCTCCACTGCCTCCACTGCCACAATCGCTCTTGTGCGTTTTGAGACATCTTGCCCCCGGGCCCTGAATCCTGTCACGGTGGTGGCAGCGGGTAGGAGGAGGCCAGGACCTAAGCGTCCATTGCCTCTATGGCTC